GCCTCGCCTTACCTCACCTACCTATCTCACCTATTTCACCTCGCATGTTCCGCTCAATCAGGGTTCGGCATAAGGCACCGACTGCACCTTAAGTCTCGTCTCTCGCCGTCCTCTCATCCCAGCGTCAGCATCCATCTTTGCATCAGCGTCGGTTCTTGCTCAGCGGTTCTGCTTGAGGCCCTGCGTACCTCCCCACCACGGCTCGTTACTCTTGACAAACGCCGAGCCATTGCCCATATCACCACAATCCCGCTAATTTGTGCCGCTGCCATCCGCACACCGGCAACCCGATCCTTCTTGTCAACACCGCCAACTTATGAAAACGGCCATCCGGACCCAGACAATCTGCTAGAGACGGGCCCCACCGCCTCTTTTTTTTTTTTTTTTTTTGGTTTTATCTTTGACGTGGTGTACTTCGAACCCTCGAATCCGAATCGCATCAACCGCTCGGCTCAACGAAACCTCCACCTGTCTTATGCCCGCAGTTGCATGTGGACCGAGTGACCAACCCACGCTGCAGCTTGCTTCTCACTTGCAGCCGTCTGCGTCTTGTCTCCTATCGAGCCGAACTGATCATCACGTCAACTTTCCTCCACGTCATATTGACCTGTAGCGCGACCATGAACGCCCTTGTTCCACTCAGGTAATCTTCATCACAACTCGCAAGATTGCCCCGGACGGCGGGGCCATCTATGCCTTCCAACTACCTATCTGAGCCCTTGACTTTTCTACCTACCTCTTTCAAGTCCTTAGCCGTCTCTGCCGTTGGCCATCTGGTCTCGGTAGGCAATACATTCGCTTCGGATGGATTTACCCAAGGGCCTGGTCAAGGATGACAGGCGCATTTATGAGGATGTCGCATCACTCACGCAGCCTCTTCCGGCAGATTTCATCATAAGAATGTGGCGCCGTAAGTCAAGTCCAAATCGGCATCCAGCCATTTCAGCGTCGTCCCGTCCTCCCCAAGCTCTAATGCCGCATTGCAGTCTACACCACAACAAACCTCAAGCTAGTTGATCCCACCGCACGTCGTCTGGAAAACCTTTGGTGGCATGTGATGGGCAGCGACAGGTGTAAGCTGAAAGCAGCCACCGTGGCCAAGCTTTGGGAACATATCTCATACGGCCCTACCTTTGTTCCTCTCAAAGGCTCACCAAACCGCTGGGAGGGGCCCTCGGTACTTCACCCCACCTTGGCTGACACCACACTGGCCTGACCTTTGCTAATGGCAATGCACAGACGCCCCGTTTCAACAGCCAGCATGAATCCGATCCGCTTCTCAGCGCTCAGCAGATGAATCAGGATATCAAGATGATCTCAGAGCAGTCGGCTCTCAAGGAGCTCTCTGCTTCGTCATCCCGACCACCACCGCCGCATCCAATCCTGAAGAAAACTAGGGGTGATTCAAAATCTGGACCCCGTCCGACGGCTCGGTTTGTATCGCCACCTGAGTCTGCTGACGAGGACTACAAAACCAGCGAGGGGACGTCGTCCGGAAGTACAGCAGCCAGTGGCCTGGAAATGCGAATCTCATCAATAGCATCACCGACAAAATCGAGCAAGAAGAAAGCGCCGACCCCGGCCAAACGCTTCGTTGCCTCGGCTGCGAACAAGAGAAGACCAGTCCTTCCAAGAAGGATGAGTTCACAGTCCTCAACAAGCTCTGACGTCATGGTCAAAGACACTGGTTCTGCAAACGGAACCAAACACGTTGGGACTTACACCGTGATGCCGCCCCATGCTGAGCAGAGTGTAACCCAGGGTAGTACCGGTCCCGAAGAGGTCGAGAAGCCCCCAAGCGCCAAAGTGTTGGGAAAGAGGCCCGTGAACCGGTCATTGACGGAAACAAAAAGCTTTTTGAAATCACCTCCAACCGTTGGAGCGCGGCAGAGACCGCTTGTTGTTCAAACGACAGGCCGAGCACCAGCACCCGCGCCGCTGAGCAGATCCATAAGCGACATATCTGGCTACGAGGGAAACGGAGCGAGAAACGAAGACCCCAGGACGCCTACGAGCATTTCAGCTGCATCGCCCGTGCTTTCGTCACCAAGGATCGGGTCCTTTTCTTCATCGCGTTCACGCCTAGAATCGACAACATCTATTTCAGAGTCGTATCGGCCAAGAGAGGCCAGCATAGGTCGCGGTCCTGCTCAAGGACTCCTCTCTAGCGCCACGGCGAGTACTTCCAATGTTGCGGCCGTCGGCCATGTCTCAATATCTGGGGAACCGGACCGCCATGCTTTGGAGGCTTTGGGGTCGCTTAGCGAGGAACCGAAAGGGTCCCCTCGGCGGGCTTCATCGTCGTCACACTTCACTCCAACCATGCCAAGTTCTACCCCCGACGTACCACTGGCCCGGACGAGAAGCCAACTGACTCTACTACTAGAGCGCGAGAAAGAGCGCATCGGAGACAGATCAAGGCCGAGGCCGTAAGACGCACTGCAAGCAGTGCCATCTCTTATTATCATATAATCTATGTACTAATCCCGGAGCACAAACTGCATTGACCAGGGCTTATGGAGTTTGAGGAACACAAAAATCGGAATCCTCCGACGACTATCATTCCAAGAGCTTGCCGGTCCAGACGGTTGTAGCTGGGCGTGGCCAGCTTCTACGTTTATTGTTCTTTTGTTTCTCTTCGTCAGCTCGGCAAGACCGACTCTTGGTTGAGAGTCGATCGGCGAGTACCTATGCATCGCATGAGGCGTTCTTTTTACAGACGGTTAAAGGAGGGCGACGGCCCGTCAAAGCATTGCAGTGGAAACAGCGAGTTGCAAAATAGTTATTCGGGTGGTTTTCTTTTTTTCCTTCTTTTTTTTTCATCCTTATTCTTTTTAGGGTGGGGGAGGGGGGGGTGGTTAAGAGGAGGTTTATTGGCGTTGACAGCCGTTCAAGCAAGGTGGCGAAATCGTCCCGAGGCTGGGTTAAAGTTGAGCCGGGAGGATGCTCCTGGACCGACATTGCACAGTAACCGGCCTAACTACATCTATTGACACCCTAGATAAGAGAGCTCTTTGTGTTTAATGCGTCGAGGCCTAAACCTTATCCAACGTATCACTGTGTTGGCGATGTGACTGCAAAGATGAGTGCGTGTTATGTTGACTGAGACACAGCAGGGGATGGGCTCAGGTCTAAGAGAGACCTAGGCAGGTTTCTCAGATAAATACCTGACTCGGCTTGCTTAACAAACCTTGCGGCCGCTACAATCCAAGTCTTACTGGGAATCTTACTGATTGCCCAATGGTTTGACTCGAATAAGGGAAGTAAACGACAGCATTCTCTACCCCGGTCCGTTTGACCATCAGACTGATAAGTGTAAGGGGTGGGAGGGCGGAGAATGGGGAGAAAAGCAAAGCGCAACTGGTCACGAGGGTTAATAATTTCTGCCTTAAGAAGGACCACCTTGGAAATGTACCTCTCAGGTCGTAGTTTCTGCGACAAAGGACGAGGCGGGTGGGCGAACCTCCTCGAGAGCGATGCCCACCCTCGCCCCCATCGTGCCAGCTCATCAGGTAAACCAAAAAAGAAAGCAAAGAACGATGGCTTGAGAAAGCAGGGACCTATCGAAAAAACGAAGATTCGAGGATTCGCCTTCTCCAGGCCGATCCTGACGCCTTGCGCAAAACCCACCCCACGAGATGCCGCCCCCTCCCCCCCCCACGTCTCGGCTCCCCCTGACCTGCCATGTCGAGCACGAGTGGCAGCTGGCTGGGTGGATGGATGAGATGAGATGGGACGGGATGGGATGGGAAAGCTGTTTGAAGCTACCTACCCTGGAGCTCGACAAGGGCTGCCCACTGCGGGGTAGGTACACAACGACACACCTCCGGAGCTGGAGCGAGGAGGGGTAGCTCACAGCTCTCTCTGGCTGATTAGCCGTTGCCAGCCGTCTGCTGACTAAGACATGCAGTATCTTCTTCCCCACGTCAGCGCAAGGGCAGTCTTGGTTCGGTCGACCAGGCTGGTTGACGAGCAACTCTGACCGGCGGCCCAATATCTTTCCCCCCGCAACAGGCTGGGCTCTTTTCTTCTAGGTGGAGGCGGCGCAGTATCAGCGTCAGGAAGCCTTCGAGCTGCCCATCCCTGCGGCTATCGGTTCGTGTAGTCCGGTACAGCAGGGCTGTGCTCAGCTACTACACTGAACTCCGTTCCTCGCAAGCACCCATTCCACCAGCCAGCCAACCAGCCAGCCAACCCCCATGGCCAGGATGAGGCAGCACCCCATGGGCCCTGCATGCGCGCGCAGCGAGGGCGAGGTGTGGCCCGCCTCTCCCCCAGTATCCCCTCCCCACCGGGTGTGCAACCCGACCCAGCGCCCAGCGCGCCCGTTCCCACCGGTGTCGTCGCACAGCATACACAGCACGCATGCACCCCATCTAACCTCTTCCCACACACTCCGCCTTTACCCTGGCAGCGTGCATTCGCTCCCTTGACCGTGCAGTCGTCGATACAGTGCGTGGCTTACATGTATGGCCTGCGGGTGCAGGCAGTGACTTGGACGACGGGGGGGATGTTCCAGCGGCCACATGGCACCCGTCGCGAGCTTCATCATGGGACATCTGCTGCTATTGGTACCAACTTCGCGCTTTCGAGACACCAAGATTATCTGCCCTGAGTCGAGGGTGGTTAGCGGGGTCGAGATCGGTGAAGCCGGATGCAAGGCCGTCTATGTCTAAGTGGAGGACCGGTGGGGTACGCTTCCTGAACGGCCGTCAGTCGTCTGGAGGCGCCGTGTCGCACTGGAAAACGCGTTGACGGCTCCGTCAGATGAGCCTCGCCACATTTTATGTCTTGTTTCCTTTCACATGCTGAATCAGGGCGAGGAATCATCACTGTACTTTTTGAGTAATATAATATTAGTATGTAATAGCCCTTTGACGATCAACGGATAGACGTCTATGTCCTTGGAACCAAACGCCCATCATTTCAGTATCGAATCGCGTCTCTCGTCTTTTATGCCTTTTATTCCCCATCCTGACCATCAACATGTAATCGTTCTCTTATGTAACAGTGTAACCGCCGTCGACTCGAAGGTCAGCGCCCGTGACGTACTGGGCAGCGTCGGACAGGAGGAAAGTCACGGGGCCCATCAAGTCCTTAGGCTGACCCATCTTGCCCTGGGGAATTAGGGATGTCCACTTCTGCTTGAGGTCCGGGTTGTCGTCGAGGATCTTCTCGGTCCTGTGGCGGTGAGTTAGCAGCATTTTCTAACATTCACTTGGCCACGGCGCCGGGCACTTACAAAGCTGTGAGCATGTAGCCGGGCGAAATGCAGTTGACGCGGATCCCGGCGTGGGCCCATTCGACAGCCAAGGAAGCAGCCAGGTGGCGGACACCAGCCTTGGCGGCATTGTAAGGTCTATTCGATACGTGTTAGCTGGCGAATACTGGAGCAACTCTGGAGGGAGAGTGACGTACGCCTGTGGCTGAGGGACGTTGACAATCGAACCAGACATGCTGCCAATAAAGACCATGCTGCCAGGCGACTTGCGCTCCATGAGGTGCTTGGCAACGCCAATCGCAAAGAGATAGGTGCCGTCCACGTTAACTCCCCAGAGCTTGCGCATGCGATCGATTGGGTAGTTAACAGCGTCGAAGTTCTCGGTGAAGCCGGCCGATGTGACTAAGTTGTCAATCTTGCCGTGAGCAGCGAGGACCTCAGCAAGGCAGGCCTCGACGGATGCCTGGTCTGAGACGTCTGCGTGGTGGGCAGTGACCTTGGGGGCTCTGTGATGTATGGTTAACATCCAATTGCGTTCATTTGAAATGAATTAAGTGTTCGGATAGCGTACCTTTTTGCCTCGGGGTTTTCTCTCTTGAATGCCTCGATCAGGTTCTTGGCCTGGAGCTCTGCCTCTTCCTCTGTTTTTCTGTTAGGAATAGTCCTTGTGGAATGCGAATTATAATTCAAGGCTCACTGTTGAGGTCGACAATGGCGAGATCGCTGCCAGAGTAGACCATGCCCTGGCCCATAACTAAGCCCAGACCGCGGGCACCACCGGTGACGACGCCGACATTGCCCTCCAGAGAGAAAGATGCAAGTGTGGGCTTGCCGATGCCACCGCCGTGGCCGCGGACAGGCTTACTGGAAGGAAGCTCGTGGTCCTCGGGGTACTCGACCGTAACGTCAGGGTCGGTTCTCGAGTACTGGCCGGGATGGGGCTTCTCTCTGACATTGGGGCTGCCGCTGATGGATCTCGACTGTTGTTGGTGCTGAGGCCTGATAATCGCGATGCCTGCTTGGGCAGTCAGAGTGGACTTGGAGCGTGTCTGGGCGTGCTGAGTGATGGGACGGCCCATCAAAGCGAGCCGGGCGCTGAGGGGACGAAACATTGTGACTGTCTTTGTGTTGAGCGGAGTGCGCTGTGAAGTACAATTGCTGTCGTCAGTAAGACGTCACCAGCGAGGGTGAAAATAAGGTTCTCAACCAGAAAGGGAGGATACCAAATGTAGTCCTGTTGGATATTGGAGGCACTGTTTAGTTTTGAAACTGAACGGCGGAATGATGTCAGCGTGCGAACCTTTTCTTGTTGGGCAGCGACTTGGACGAGCTGAGATGAAGCTAGCTATCCCTCGCAGGATGGGACTGGCGATCAGTTATGGCAGTATTACAACACCACCAGTCGAATAACGCGTCGACTTGAGCACTGATGTGGTTGATGACGTGGGATCAGCGGAAAGAGGCTGATGGTTGCCTCTGATCGCCTTGATATTAGCCTGTATCGGGAAATGCAAGGTTGGTTGTCGGTTGGAGGTAGCTAGTCGGTGGGAAGGGGCATGAGAGATAGTAAGAGAGTTGGAACTAACTGGGGGAAGAAAGAGAAACGGAGGGAGGCGTGAGAAAGTTTAGAGAATGGGGAAAGAGCAGGAAGAGGTCAATTTATGAATAGCTCAGGATGCAAGCACGGAAAAGGTGGTTTAGCTAAGGCAGCCCAGGGAAGGGGGCTGGCAGTGGTGTGAATCGGCCGATTGGCAAGGAAGGGTGTGGATGATCAGTTCACGATACTTGGGGCATATGGACGCGTCTCGACCTCCGTGTGGAAAACTTCACGTCTTGACTGTTGAGTCGCAAAGAAAGTCTCAACCATCACGTTGCAGGTTGCAGATGCCACTATCACACTGCCTCGCGGGGAGCTGCCCCGGAGCTAAGCTAGAGCCCGAGCGGACATGCTGCCGCCCACCGTCCACACTAGAACCACAACCCCGGGGCGGGGGTGGATATGAGGGAGGGAACTTGGGGGCATGTTGCCGGGATGCCCGGCTCGGGTGCCCGATTCTCCTCGCCTCTCTTCTCATCGATGGATGCCCAATCGAACTGCTCACGGGGATGGCATGCTAGCTAGTACTGTACCTTAGTAAACCACCTCCTTGACACGGTCTATGCTGTAGGTCTACAGACACTCCCCTCCGAGATACAGGTATTGCAGCGAACCGGAGAGAAGCGACAGAAACCCCTTAAACCCTGGTCAAGGTTTCCACGTCCTCCACTTTTGCCCCCAAGGAACCCTGCGGAGTCGGGTTGGTAAAGAAAGGACGAGAATCTTTGAACAAGCTTGCGACCAAGCTCCAACCTTCTTTTTTATAGAGTCTGATTCCTGGGGCTAGGACACATTACGCGCTTTCTCCACAGCTACCCCAATTTTCCTACGCGGGACGGAGGTTCTAAAATGCCATGGGATCAAGGGGGACCGGTCTAGCCATCGCTAGTCCTGACCTCCAGTTCGGGGAGCGGCCACAGGTCCGAAATCGGAATCGACCGACTGACCGACATGCACCGAGTTTCATGCCTACCACCATCTTATTCCGGTCGCCCCCCAGGGCCCAGAACACGAAAGACATCCATACATACATCTTGCCACTCATAGTAAACCAGGGTGCCGGCTCGGGAATGCCATATTCGGTCATCCGCCTGAACCTGCCGTCTTCCTTGCAGATTAGGGGCCTTGGAAGCGCACCTCTGGTTCTGGTTCTGGTTCTAGTTCTGTTCTGGCCAGCTCTGGCATTCCCAGACATGCAACCAACCATAGACAGTAGTACGCCTAGATTATGGCTGACGCATCGTTTTGGCACCCCAGCATCGAGTCTGCCGGGTCTTGCTTGCTGTTTTGATGGTGTTTGGCAACAAATTTTCATTAGTCCCATGGTTTCTCTCGTCAAATCAACGCAACAAGCTTGACGTCCACAAAGGAACTAACTCATTGAACCGACATATACCATCTACCCTGGAAGTAACAAAATAATATACCATCTTTTGGCCCCGTCTTTTCCGTCATCATGCAAGATGGGCATATTCCTTGTTGAAAGCCCTTCCAATCACCATTCTCCGAATTTCAGAGGTACCGGCCCCGATCTCATACAGCTTCGCACTAGGAATTTGTCAGTGAACCGTCCTCGCAAGCCAATATTTTTTGCGGCACTTACTCTCTTAAAAGTCTGGAAGCCGGCATCTCTTCCACGTATCCCATACCACCAAGAAGCTGAATGCTGTCCAGTGTACACTCTGTCGCTCTCTCGGCAGCATACAGGATAGCACCGGCGCAGTCCTGTGTCCGGATCAAGCCCTCCTCGTCGACAGCCTTAGCCGTACTGTAGGTGTAGGCACGAGACGCCTGGAGCTTCGTGTACATATCCGCCAACTTGCCTTGGATGAACTGGTTCTGGGCGATGGGGATGCCGAACTGCTTCCGCTGGTGGGTGAAGGGCAGAGCGACGTCCAGCGCGGCCTGCATAATGCCTAACGGACCGGCGCTAAGAACGAGGCGTTCGAGGTCGAGGCCTTCCATCAACACGCGCACGCCACCGTTGACCTTACCGAGGACGTTCTCTTTAGGCACGAAGACGGAGTCAAAGTTGAGCTCGCCAGTGTTGCTACCTCGCATGCCCATCTTGTCCAGCTTTCTTGCGCAGCTGAAGCCCTTGGCCTTCGTCTCGACGATGAACGCCGTGACGCCCTTGGAACCTTTGTCGGGCTCCGTCTTGGCGTAGACGACGATGACGTCGGCATCCGGACCGTTGGTAATCCACATCTTAGAGCCGTTCAGGACGTGGCCGCCGTCGACAGCTGTCGCTGTCATTCTCATGCTCACCACATCGCTTCCGGCCCCAGACTCGGACATTGCCAGCGCACCGACGCTGGTGCCAGCAATCAACCCGGGGAGGTATTTCTGCTTCTGTTCCGGAGATCCATTGAGCTGAAGCTGGTTGACGCACAATTGGGAGTGCGCGGCATAGCTAAGGCCAATTGAGCCAGAAGCACGCGAGATCTCCTCCATGACGACGCAGTGTGCTTGATAGCCCATGGCCAGACCACCGACTTCTTCGTCGGCCGTCATGCCCAGGAATCCCGCCTCGCCGAGCTTCTGCCACATATCGTTGGGAAATGCATTACTCTTGTCCGTGTTTGCGGCGACCTCCTCCGTGATCTCGCGCCTTGTAAATTCCTGCACGCGCTCGCGCAGCTCCGTCAGGTCGGCTTGAGATGGTGCCTCGAACCCCTTAGGGTGCTTAGAGGAGTGGTGTCGGGTCTGGAGAGCGGGGTTCGCGAGGGGTCGCAATTGACGCGCCGGTCGCGCCAGCGATCTGAAAGCTCGGAGACTTGACATGGCAATGAGTTTTAATAAGAACGAATGATGAGGATGAGAAAGGAAGAAATCGTAAACACAACTGGAAACTCCTACCGTTGTTGATGATCCAAGTTGCATTAGCTTAATGCCGAGCAGAGGTCCAAGGTGCTTCGGCTACGGGCGGCTTGCTGCGGGCCGAGGTCAGGTATTCGACATCATTGGAATGGTATCCCGTCAGCAAGCGAGCGGCCCTCGAACCTCTCCTTGTCGTCTTCAAAGGGCATCGTCTGCAGCTGTAGCCCAGTCTCCTTCATACCCCGAGTCGCTACACCCGTTGGCAACACCCTCGCACACGTCTAAAATGTCTTTCTCAAGGCCATCAAGGGACGTCCTGCTTCTGTCGCGTCAATTGACACGGCCGGGGTTCAGAGCACCCCGCCTCCTGCGTTCCGCCCGTACCGTTGCGACCTTCACGCCGCCGCATCAGGCCAGCGCCATCTCCCGAATCCAGACCAATGTCGACCCGACGTCCGAGGAGTTCAAGGAGAACAAGAGCCAAATGGGCGAGGTTATGAAGAAGCTGCAGGACCTGACGCGAAAGGTACACCTCGGAGGTTCGGCAAAGGCGAGGGAAAAGCACCTTGCGAGAAAGAAGATGCTGCCGCGCGATCGAGTCACAGCATTGATCGACCCCGGCACGACCTTCCTGGAGCTGTCGCCGCTAGCCGCTCATGAGCTATACCCGGAGGCTGACGTTCCTGCGGGAGGCATCATCACCGGTGTCGGCGTTGTGGAGGGCGTGACATGCGTGATTGTCGCAAACGATAGCACAGTGAAGGGCGGAACCTACTACCCGATTACGGTCAAGAAGCATCTGAGGGCACAAGCTGTGGCCCAGGAGAACAAGCTGCCGTAAGGGACTCTTGGTCGCCCTCGGTAGATGATTGCTGACGCATACATAGTTGCATCTACATGGTTGACAGCGGCGGGGCCAACCTCCCCCACCAAGCGGACGTGTTTCCGGATCGTGATCACTTCGGGCGCATTTTCTACAATCAGGCAAGGATGAGCTCCATGGGAATTCCCCAGATCTCGGTCGTTATGGGTCCGTGCACTGCGGGTGGTGCTTACGTCCCCGCAATGAGTGACGAGAGCATCATTGTTGAGAACCAAGGTCACATCTTCCTTGCTGGTCCACCGCTGGTCAAGGCTGCCACCGGTGAAGTTATCAGTGCCGAGGAGTTGGGCGGCGGAAAGATGCACTCTTCTGTTTCGGGCGTGACAGACTATTTGGCAGTCGACGACGCTCATGCCATCACACTTGCCAGACGCAGCATCAGCAACTTGAACTGGCCCACAAAGTCACCTTTTACGGCAGCACCTGTGCAGAACTATGCTGAGCCGCTATACTCGCCAGAAGAGCTTCTGGGCATTGCTAGTACAAACTTACGGAAGCCATTGCCCATTAAGGAGGTCATTGCTCGTATCGTTGACGGTTCCGAGTTCTCCGAGTTTAAGCGTGACTTCGGTACGACCCTGGTCACTGGGTTTGCCCATATCCATGGTTACAAGGTTGGCATTGTTGCTAATGATGGCATCTTGTTTGCCGAATCATCCGTGAAGGGCGCGCATTTCATTGAGCTTTGTGCTCAACGAGGCATCCCCTTGGTGTTCCTCCAGAACATCTCCGGCTTCATGGTAGGCTCCGCCGCCGAGCGTGGTGGTATCGCCAAGCACGGTGCTAAGCTTGTCACTGCCGTTGCTTGTGCCGATGTTCCCAAATTCACTGTTGTCGTAGGCGGTAGCTATGGTGCTGGCAACTATGGCATGTGTGGTCGAGCCTACAGCCCCCGTTTCCTATGGATGTGGCCCAACTCTCGCATTGGTGTCATGGGTGGTGAGCAGCTGGCTGCGGTGATGGAGACCGTTGGAAAGGCCGACCCCGAGCTGAAGGAGAGGATAGAACGGGAAAGCGACGCAACCTACTCGTCGGCTAGGTTATGGGTCAGTTACGTGGTTGTCCACATCATGCGATACTTGCTAACAATGTTTATAGGACGACGGCATCATCCCTCCTCAGCACACCCGCCAATATTTGGGCTTAGGTCTAAGGGCTGCCATGTCAGGTCGGAATGAAGTCAAGGCTGGTGATACCAAGTTTGGCGTATTCAGAATGTAAAAAGCTTAGATTCTGTTCATGTGAGAAACAAGCGCCCAATAAGCCATTTTGTTGCCTATCAAGTAACCCATCAATTAAGTATCTTATGACAGGAATAACGCATCATATGTATGGAAACCGGCTGACAGTCGAGAGACTATGATAGAGCCCATAAAACTTACTTAACTATCGTGTCAGTTTATAGGACAGTAGACATTGATGCGGTCTCAAATGGGATCTCTGTATGTACGGCCTCTGTTATACTCGGCAATGGATAATTTTGTTCAACCCCCAAGATGATGCTATTGCACAATAGCCGGTCTTGAAATCCAGTTAGAGAAACACAACTCTCTCTCTCTCTCTCTCTCTCTCTCTCTCTCTCTCTCTCTCTCTCTCTCTCTCTCGGCAGAAGAAGAAAAGAAAAAATCCCTGGACTTGTACATTGAGGATGTCACTGAAAGAACGGTAGTTTGTTCTGCAGCAGACCAAAAAGAACCAATCGCACGGGATTGCCTCCGACGATCCACCGGTCAAACCCCTGCCTAACGCCGGCGGTGAAAGCCTCGGGCCTGTCTCCCAGCCCTCTTCTCCTTCACCTATAACGTACAGCTGTCCCCCTTTCGAGACATTTTACCACTCCACCCCCACGTATTCTTGCAAATCAGATACCAGCAGGGCTGGCTTGGCCACAGTCGCAATGATCCACGTGCTGACATTCATGCAATGTGTACGTCAGGTCTCGTTCTTGTCAGACACAGGACGTACTAATTGATGGTCTCAGCGGTATATCTCCCAGCCATTACACCGGCTTCCAGAAGTGCTGGCGATCCCCAAGTGTTCGGTCAGCACAGCCGGTGTGAAGAACATGGACGGAGCAGTGTTGAGCGTGGCACGCGGCTATAAGACTTGCCCCGAAAAGGACGTTCTCCGACCACACCAGCAAAGAATTAACATCTTTCGCTTGTTAGTTACAAGACAAGCATCTCACCACTTGCAGGCAGGAGGTGACTTATCATATTTCCCTTCAAACTGTTCTCAACCACGTGGTCTCGTTGCGCTTCATCTAACACTTCTTTGTTCTTCCTTACTTTCAAGTCCTCAACAAATAGTCTATGCCCATGTGGTGCGCTTGTACATTAGTCTCACCGATGGCCAACCCTTGCTTCACCGGTCTGCGCTCACCTGACTAGCCCTGCAGTCCTGGTGTCCCTCTTTCTTTCTCTCTCCCGCGCTTAGAACCGCGCCTCCAGGAAAGGCCTTTGGATATTGGGATGAGGATCCTAGGTGGGACGCGATGGGTGCATCATTAGGACTTTCATTCACACCTCTTCCATAGTAGCTCTATTCTTGGCTTAAGGATGCTGATGTGCAACTGCATGAAACAGAACCGGTCAATGGGCGGTGCTATGGTTTTACCCAGACACTGACTGATTGAGAAGGAGTAACAATGCAGGAGAAGCCGGATAAGGCATGGTCGTCAGCTTCATTGAGCCTCCTTTCGTGATACGCTTCACCGCCACGAGGCCAGGAACAGGTATAAGAGGAGCTGGTTGCTTAGTTGGTGAGCTGCCTGAATCTGGCTTCGTTGGCCCAGGTTGAGCTAGCTGCCGAAAGGCGTTCTTGTTTCTAGATTTATCCCATACTGAACCGCGCATTCTCATTTGCTCAGGACAGTAAACAGCATCATAACGCAGCAGTTTGAACCTCGTATATCTAGGCCTGCCTCATTGCCCGACGATAAACGCATCACAGAAAGCCAGTGAACCGAAAGAAAGACATTGCGACAAGATGACTCCATCGGCATTGTCTGAAGAGCCAGAGATGTACGCATCGACTATCGCCGAGATGGCCCTTGACAGGAAGTTCTTCCCCTCCCACAAGTTCATCATCAGCTGCGGCACCGTCACGGTCGATACGCGCGGGAAGCGCGTGCTCCTAGTCTACAACAAGCGCCACCGCATCTACCAACTTCCCAAGGGCCGCAAAAACATTGGTGAGGACCTACTCGCGGCAGCCCTGCGCGAGACCCTAGAAGAGACGGCCGTCGCGGCAAGGCCGGTCACCTTGCGACTCCGAACGAGGGCCACGCCCGTGAGCAGGCCGCCGGGCGCACCGGAGGTATCGGAAGAGCTTGTCGACACGGAGCCCGTGGCTGTGTGCCACTACCCGGACCCGGCCTCTGGCGCGATGAAGATGGTGTTTTATTTTGTGGCGGAGAGGAACTTTGACGTTACGCCAGACGGAGGTACCAGCGAGGACCGCGCCAAGTTTGATGTCGTCTGGGTCGACGCCGCTAAGGCGGCTGATAAGTTGGCGTTCAAGGAAGATGGAATGGTTGTCGAGAAGGCTCTGGACGATCTAAGGACATCTGGGTACGACGTTTAGTTTTGGAATACGTTGAATTGTCGCTTGTAAGTGGATGGTCGCCACAGGATAGAAAAGAAAACTAGATACTCCGCAGGGAGGTCTGTCTGAGTACATGTACGGACAGCATCTGTTTCGTTTGTTCTTCTTTATATGCCCTCTATATCTATCTGACTTATAAATAGTCATCCAAAGAGTAGGATGAAGCGTTGAATTGGTAGCACTGGAGTGCTTTTGTTGAATACAGCGTTCATGTTTTCTTTCTTATTCGAGAACGTACCGCTTTTGATTCAACTGATCTTCTTGCTACTTGTACAAAGAGGAGATGACGTATGGATTGGTCGTATTTAATCATAGAATTTGGACTTTATCAGTTGGACTGAAAATTAACCCTAGTCCAGAACTTGGACGACCTGGCGTATAAGGTGCCAATCTGCCTTTCGGAATCGTGCCCCGTAGGTACCCTAAAGCAGCCATCAAATACCGGAGCGGCCGGTTGACCTCAAGACGGGCACCGACAACGGGCCGTGGAGGTCCACAACGGGCGGGGTCAAGGCATTTCCCCCCACAGCAATGGTGACATCACCCCACCCCACCTACGAACCCCTCCCTCCAAAGCTCCTAGAGAGAGCGAGGTTGTGGTCTAAGAGAAGGGGCAAGAGGCCAACGCCACAGATCTCTCTCCGTTTGACTCGTTAACTGGTTAGTTGAATGTCACCCCCGACACATGTAGTGCCCCGCCAACAGCTCGCTGCCCAATCGTCATTGAAAGAAACCATATGAGCTCCCACCCTATTAAAGCTGCTCGCTCCCGATGGCCGCTGGTCCTGAAGCAGCCTACATCCTCCCCCACCACTGTGATAGCTTCTCGATCAACGTCGACAGTAACACCCACAAGCTCTACCGCATCTAAGAATCTCGCAACCTGCCTTGTTAGCTTTCCTCGACAGTTACACCCGTTCTCTACACAAGCCGCCAAGATGTCGACTATGCCTGCTCAGCACGGCCACTCCGTGGGCTGCTGCAACATCCCGCCCGTAGTTTCCAAGGGGTACGAAGCCAAGGGCACTTACGAGGAGATTGGAGGCAAGAAGACTTGTAAGTTACCAGTCAATCCCAATCAATTGGGTCCAGATCTTTAGTGCACGGTCTGCCGCTCTGCCTTCTCGCTCGACGACGTCTGCCGACCGTGGATCCAACAGCACTGACCAGACAAAATTACAGACGTTACCGGTCCCTCCGATGCGAAGAAGGCTATTGTGGTTATCTACGACATCTTTGGATACTTCCCTCAAACCCTCCAGGGAGCAGACATTTTGGCCACAAGCGGTTCCGAGAAGTATCGCGTCTTCATGCCCGACTGGTTCGCCGGCGAGCCCTGTCCCATCGAGTGGTTCCCTCCCAACACGGAGGAGAAGCAAAAGAACCTGGGCGGCTTCTTCCAGAAGTTCCCGCCTCCCAAGATCGCCGGTCTGGTCCCCGACTACGTCAAGGCTGTGCAGTCCAAGTTCTCTTCTCTTGAGTCCTTTGGTATCATCGGTGTAGGTTTCCCTCGTAACCCATTGACCGTTGCTTGTAGACTGACGGCATCACAAGTACTGCTGGGGAGGTAAGGTCGTCTCCCTAGTCACCTCTGGCGAGGGCAACCCATTCAAGGTTGGCGCCGAGATCCACCCCGCCATGGTTGAGGCCGACGATGCCAAGGGTATCAAGATCCCCCTCATCATGCTCGCCTCCAAGGACGAGCCTGAGGAGGATGTCAAGAAGTTTGAGAGCAACCTCAGTGTTGCCAAGCACGTCGAGATATTCAAGGACCAGATTCACGGGTGGATGGCTGCCCGTTCAGACTTGGAGGACCCTAGAGTCAAGGAGGAGTACACCCGTGGCTACAAGACTGTCCTTGAGTTCTTTGCCAATAACTTTTGAGTGAAGACTGGAACCTTCGAGCTAGCTATAAAAGACAAATAATAAAACTATTTTGCAGTACTAGTGCCCATATTCATGACGCTTTATAGCTGGTTCGGCAGTGTTTCATTTGTTGCACAAGCTTAGAAGCATGGTCCATCTCGGACTAAAACTCAACTGGAAATGATGCAGTCTCAGGGTACAATAATGACAGTGCATATATCGGGTCCAAGAAGCCAAAAATGTCGGACGGGAATAGGCATTCGGGTTGAAGTGGAATCAATTCTCGCACATCCGGCACTGTCTTTGAACCTTCCCACAAACTTTAACAAGCAGCGGCGATCGGCTTAAATTGTCAGTTAGCGTTTCACTTGATATTTACTGACCCATATGCTGGACAACAAGGACATGGTGTTCTGTTTTATGAGGTCACCCCAGTTGGAGATAATCGCAAGGGAATCAAATCGGTATAAGCCTCGAAAGCACATCATCGATAGACCCGGGCTGGCTCGGCGGCCTCTCAAAGCAGTCGTGAGCCAGTTTGGAGCCCCTTCCCCTTCACTCTCTATCCGAAGCTCCTCGTATGGAAGCATGCAATATGGCTACGGTAGAGACAGAATTGCAAAGGCCTAAAAGATTGATCTAAACTGCCCCCAGCTCCACCTCAGTACGCCCAAGTACTCTCCCCAGCCGGCCCTTGACACCGAGAACTGAGCCACGAGTAGCACACGGACTGACATAGCTTCTCTCGTTAGACGTATTTTTAGTATGACTGCTCAGTTGCTGCTCCAGGATCTGCGCTACGCCATGTGGCCGGCGTCAGCCGTGGGGCCGCCTGTCTCAGGCCTCAACACCTGCTTTTTTACACAGGATGACCGGTTGAGGTTTGGCAACACTGACATCCCCATATTACTCGATGCCCGAAGTCCGATGGTATCAATATTCCAAATGCATCAAATGAACGCTAATTAGTGGCAGGAAGACGTCAGGTGGTAAACAATCACATGGATGGATGTTTGGAAAACCACAAGCAGTCTCCAACCTCTCTAGCAGCGTGGCCGAGGGAAGGCAATGTCATAAAGTACTCTTCATAATGCATTTTATTCTTCAACCATAGCCATACCGGCAGTTTTACGCTCCTGCAACTAATCCATTCCACACCAGCCGTTTACGGCACAAGTCTCTTGGGGGTACGGGGGTAGTAGCTGGCCAGATGCACAGAGGGCAAGTTCAAGAACCAGGCAACAACACGGTCGAGACCGATACCACCGCCGCCGTGGGGAGGCACACCGGCGCTACGGAAAACGTCGACGTACTCCTTGATACCCTGGCTGTTCGGGTCGATGCCCTTCTTGCGCAGGCGGGCCTCGAGGACGCTAGGGATGTGGATACGCTGGCCTCCGGAAAGGATCTCCTGGCCGCGCATGAAGAAGTCGTAGGCGTTGGTAACCTTAGGGTTCTCGGGGTCCTCAAGGGCATAGAAGGGGCGCGCCCCCTCGGGGAACTTATCGAGGACGTAGAAGTCGGTGTTGAACTTCTTGCGGATCAGGGCGCCCAGAGCCTTCTCCTGGGGAGTGGACATGTCCTCCTCATCCGAGACATTGCGGTACTCCTCGGGGCCCTCCTCGCGAAGGAGCTTCTGTCCCTCGGCGAAGGTGAGGCGGACCTCCTTGCCAGGCTCGGGGAGGAGGAAATCTTCCGAGGGGTAGACGGCACGGACGGTGTCAATAGCATCGGCACAGCGCTCCTTGAGTCCGCGGAAAATGTGCAGGAGGACCTTCTCGAGCATATCCTGGACCTCGTGGTAGTCGTCCTCAATCTCCATCTCCAGATCGAGACCAGTGAACTGTGGTGTTTTAGCCAGTGGCCTTGCGTTTGCATTCTATGTGTACCTACCTCGGTCATGTGTCTGGGGGTGTTGGAGTTCTCAGCACGGAAAACTGGGCCAATACAGTAGACTCTCTTTCTGCCACCGGCAATCTCGAACTGTTTGTAGAATTGGGGGGACTGGGCCAGGCAGGCACTCTTGTCGAAGTAAGGGAGCTGGAAAACGTTGGCACCACCCTCGGAGGCAGCACCAATTAGGCAAGGGGGCTCAAATTGAACGAAACCCTGGGCGTCGAGGTATTCCGCAAAGAGCTTGCGGGTAGCCATGCGGATGTCGGCGATGGCTTGCTGGACGGGGGCACGCTTGTGCATGACGGGGTTGTTGAGATGCGTCGACATGCTCGCGCTAGGAGTGGTGTCGATGCTCACGCCTTCAACACCGGCCTTGACGTCGTCGACGGGTTTATCAGCCTCGGGAGCATTGGGGTCCTCATCATCGAAGCTGTTGATAGGACGGTTCGAGACGGCCAGGCTCATGCCCAAGGCCTCGGGGCCGGGGGCGATGACGTAGAGCTTGGTGATGTGCAGCTCAAAGTCACTGACCTTGCAGCTCTTGACGGGCTCGAGGGGCTTCTGCACTGTCGCCTCAACGAGGACGTACGATTCGAGCGCAATACTGCCGATCCACTTGACCATCTGCTTCGAAACGGGCTTACCCTCGGCGCTGGCGGCGATGACGCCCTGGATGGCCCAGTTACGCTCCTCGCGGAGCTCAATAAAGCACATCTTAGCGCCCTGCATGCGCGAATTCTGAATCCACGCGCGCAGCTTGATGGCCTTTCCGACATGCTCTGCGCCGATGCTACGCAGGCTGGTGCGCTCGGCGTCGACCTTGGTCTGGGGCTTGATGTCGCCGTAGTTGTCCTTGGCCAAGTCCTCGCCGCCCGCGCCGCCGGAAGCCTTCGCAGCGGCCTCGGCGGCCTGGCGCTCCGCAGCTTTACGGGCCTTCTCGGCCTCCTTCTTTGCCTTGGCCTCGGCCTTCTTCGCACCTTTCTTTGATTGCTTCTCGCCTCCCTCGCCGGCCTCGGGAGCGGGGGCGGGGGGGTTGGACTCGGTCGGCTTGGGGTCGGTCGGCGCGTCAGCCATGGTTGCGGGTTTTAGATTCAACGGGAAAAAAAAAAAATCAGTAGTGAACCAGAACAAGGAGGATGTGACAGGTCGAGCTCGACTTATTTATGTCGGTTCGATGACTCTTGTGATCTGACCTGATTTCGGTGTGACTGTTCGAGTAACACCGCGAACCTGGAAATTTCGCTGGCGGGGCAGAGACGATGACCCCTCGCTGCGGCTAGCAGAGAAGGTGGTGGGGCCTGAGCTGAGCTGCCCTACTACGCTTATCGATAAGCACGTCCGTGTGGCTTCATGCTGGATACTCCTTGTTGATCCTGGTCTTGATATGTGACTAGCTTGCCACAGATATTTTCTCAGTACAATTTTCATTTTCATACATCAATTGGCTTCGGAACGAGCCAACTGCTACCAATTAGTATCTCATGCAATTCCTGCCCTTGTTTGCCATGGTGCGTAAGGCAACCAATTCAAACGCCGTCCCTCGCCAGTAAATGGTACGCTGCCGCCCGGAGATGAAGAAGTTAAAAAAGTAGTTACACAGCAGCAGCATGATCTCCCAAGAATATAATCGGATTACAGGCGAAAAAGTACCCTCTACCTTCTCTCGGATGTCAACTAAGCGACCAAGGATTGTGAGTCGGACTTCTCGCAAGTGAAGAGGTTGATGTAGTAGTCGCCTCTGGCAGCGCAGGCCAAAATGGGCCTGTGCGGATGGAACGCAGTAGCTGCTATAGGAGAGCCCCTGTTTTGCTGCAGGAAGCTTGAGTACGGCTCGACACGTGACAGCTCTTGGCCGTCAAAGTTGAAGACCTTGACAGCGTGTGCGGATGTTCCACTGTGGGGGATATGATTAGTATCGATAGCTTCTCGATAGGGGGTTCGTCTGACTTACACTGCAAACACCGGCAAGTGCTCATGGGTGCTGGCCGTTCGGAGCGTGTCTCGGGTCGTCTGGTAGACGTGAAGTGGCCGATCCATCCTGATGTCCCAGAGCTTGACTTTGCCGTTTCTGCTTGCGCTAAGGAGTTCTCGTTGTCCGCCACGCTGCAGGTGGACGCTCTTGATCCACTGCCTGTCTGTTTCATCCTTCCACTTCTTGATCATGGAGTCCTGAGGTCTGATACGGGTATCAAAAACGCGGACGGCACCGTCGCCAAATCCAGCCACAACTGTGTGGCCCGTCATCTGGTCAGAGGTTAAGGAAGTGACACAGGAGCCAGACCGGGCGGGAATATCAATAATGCAGGTCTCGGAACCCGCAGACCACACCCGAATGACTCGTACGTCGCCAGCCACTAGCACTCGGCCTAGGGACTGCTGCCAATCGAACACCATGCCGGAGTTGACGTTACTAGGGACCATGTGCGTGAGAGCCCGCCAAGAAGAGGCCAGGCTGATAGACTTGTCGGAATCGTAGTTCTGATAGATGCGAATGACGCCGTCTGACGAACCGGTCATTAGAAAAGCCTGGTCGTCCTCATTGATGAATTTCATGTCACTGATTCTTGACCCTTCCGGGTTACCATTGGAGAACTTGCTCAACCGAGCATGCTTCTTCCAGTCCCAGACACAAACCGTGTTACCATCGTCCGCAACAGCAAGATGATCTTCGAATTGATGGAACGTTAGCTTGGCAGGCTGTGAGCCGTTGTTGGTGATGCCCAGCTGATTGTTCCACTTGTGACTGCCGGCGTACTGCTTGAGCGGCTGCGTTTCTGCCAGAATGTGGTCATTTCGGGACCGTCTCCAGAGCCGCTCGTTGTACTCGGTGCTGCCTGGCTCATCCGACTCGCTCGGCTTCATCTGAGGCTCGCAGAAATACTCGATGGACCACTCTAAGAAAGTGCTCTGGAGGGGGAGAGAGGGGGCTTCGCCTGGCTTCCGGTCCTCAAAACCGGCAGAGACAGGCTCTCTGGCAACGTGGTAGTTGGCATGGATAGCTGTGGGGTCGCTCTGTTCTGGCGGCACTTCAGCAAGTTCCGGCGCCTTGATCTTCTGAGATCCAGCCCGATGCAGACTAGGCGAGGGCGCCGGAGAGGAGTAATTATGTTTCTCATTAGCATCAGCTTTGCCATCATTGCCAAAAAGTGGCAATTGGAATAGCAAGCTTGCTGTGCGACGTAACAAACCGGGAGAAGGCAATGGTGGGGTTGCCAAAGAGGTGGAGACACCAATGGCATGGCTTCGCTGATTTAGGTTCAGGTGGTTCTTTGTTGAAGCCCGCTTTGCCCTCTTTCGAATGTCGTCAATGAGAGTTTGGGCGTGCTCACCCACGGGCGAAGCCATCACGGCCTGATGAACGTAGTCCACAATCATCGTCGCATCGCGCTGAACCTCAGGGTGAGGGTCAACATTCAGCATTAAAGCATGCTTCCAACAAGCAGAAAAAACAGTGTTGTGTGCAAAGCCATGGACTGTGGGCTTAATGGTGCCGTCTGCGTTTCGGTTTTCCTTCCTTGCGTAATGCAGCCCCATCTTGTGATCCATGCCGTCCTGTCCTGGTGGGAACAGGAGATATTCTCTCTCTTCCTGAAGCTGTTCGTATGCGGCAACAATGAACTTGCTCTCAAAGCGGAGTATGAATCTTGAGAGGAAGACAAGGAACTCCCGGCGCACCATTGGACTGCCATCATTGGCCATGTCCAGCAGTGTCCACGCAATGGATTCTTCAATGCGAGCAACCTCGTCAGTGAGATCAATAATGCCCAAGAACGTGGTCATGGCATACATCATGGCTGCTCGGACCTCAGGCACTGGGTCCTTGGTCAGGAACGACAGCTTTGCGGGAGCGTTCTCCCGAATGCCACGCCACTTGGCCTCCGGAAGTTCTTGCCAAAGCTGACTGATGCAGAGACAAGACCACTGTCGAAGCAGAGGGTTTTCTTGGTTCTGCAGGTGTAACAAGCAGTAAGTCATGATGTCTGTTTGGTTGCAGACGTGCTGACCCGGCTTGTAATCCTTGCAGAGCATAGAGAGGATAAAGGCACACATCGCTTTGTGCTCAGGCTCGTTGACCACAGGCAAGCTCTCAGATGGTTTGAGAATCTGGGCGAAGTAGTTATAGCCGCTGTCTTTGATAAGATCCTGCTGGCAAGAGATGTCGACTGCTAGAATCCTAGTCCATATGAAGATCATAACGGGTTTCAGTTCCGCCGCAGCGGACTGTAACAGCTTCAGGACGTAGGGGAAGATACCTATGCTCAGGGCAAGCTGAACAGCCCAGGGACCTAAGTCGAGAAATCTCCCAAGTAGGATCAATGCTCTGACCCTGTGCTGTTGGCTCAGCAGGACTTGAAGTACCACTGGAAGCTGCTCTGGTGGCCTCTGAGACATGGCGTCTCCACGGGTGAGGTAGACGTCGAACGCCGTCAATTGCTCGGTGAAGAAAGTCGAATTTTGGTACTCGTACTCGATTCCTTCATTCTCCTTCCTCTCCAGCATGGGAAGTTGAGCTAGAGCCATGTCCACAGCCAAATCCCAGCTTGCCCATAACGGATGCTGACGGGTCACGGGGAGTTCGGGAAAGGACTGCGGGTGGCAACCGTAGACAGACATAATTCTCTGCGCCAGAAGAAAGTTGCGGAACAAGGCGGCGACCATAAGGTCTTGCCTGAAGAACTTCCGGAACAGGTGTCGGGGCAGTGTCGTCCAAGCGATGGTATCTGTGATGGCTGTGAAAATCCAGTTCAGTTCACCGAGGGGTGTTCTTCGCTCCTGTAATCTTCCCGGAAGCTTCTTGGCGCGCTCTGGAGTAAGGTTTGTTTTGAGGGGGTTCTGAAGGACGAAGAACCAGAGAGCCATTTCGATGGGAGTGGTGAGACAAGAAGTGAACAAGTCGGCTGGGAGGAGAGGATTCGTTGGGAGATTCTCCTTGACACCACAGGCAGCCAAATGGATATAGGGCTGAAACACCGTCTTTTCATAATTCGGATCTCTTGCGGCGGCTTCGTTCTCCTCCTGTTCATGCTTCTCCACGAACCTGTGATAATTGTTGAGGATGTTGCCTGCCTCGGAACAATCCCAGACGTAGATCGTAGGAGCGTGTAGCCACTGCTGAAGATCATATAGAGAAACTGGGATGTACTGCGTGTAATTCTTATTGAACACCCAGATCTCACCACTGGCAGTAGGCTTTGGCACTCCATGGCCGTTGTAGTGAAGCAGGACTCGTTCATCCTTTGCATTCCTGCGCAGGGATTGGCAGAACTTCTTGGTTTCCTCCACTGACGGATCCAAGTATTGTTTGTATCTCGTTCGGATGGCAAGTGTCTCATACTGCGCCTGTAGTGCCTTGCCAATGTTCTCCAGGGCTTTCTGAGGAGGCGGGGTCGTAGGGTCGGTCCACGCTTCGAGCTTCGCACCAGGGTTCGTCTTGAGCTGGTCGGGAGGTTCGACTGATATATTAAGGCAGACGGCCAGGGCAGCAGAGACGGTTTTGAGTCTGTCACGCATGCGCCAATCCTGAAGCTCGTGTAACGTTGCCTTTGGTTTGCCAGTTGTCTCGTGTCGTTTGTCGGTCCAGTACATGTACCAGTTCTGGGAGCAGGAGTCAGCGCGAGTTAACATATGACAGAATGTCAGCAATTCCCAAGAGCCCAAAACAGCGCCGTTAACGTAGTTGGGTTCGAATTGGTTCAATGGTGGCTGTGTAGCTATCACTCCCATCCAAACGGGTGACTGCATGGCCACAGAGGCTCAGATAGGATGGAATGTAGACCTCGACTTGGACGGAATTGCGCCCGGCGTCGCTGCTCGGGACCGGGATTCGCACGGCAGTCCATGGCCGTGACGTACAGACCCAACATTACATCACAAGTTTTCTCTTCTTACGCAACACGCGCAAACATGGACTACTGTCAGACCAGTCCAGCTGGATAGTACCGCCACAAGGCCGCCAAGTGGGGAGGCGCAGAGCTCGAAATGGGAAAAAAGGAAGCAGGACCAGAGGTGGTGGGCAATGAAATAGGATACCACTTACATTCGCTATCTGAGCCAGGATTTCCGGCGACTCGTGG